TGAGAGAGGTCCACATGTAGTACCTATATATGTAATATCAAAGCAATCAGACTATTGGTTTTTTACAAGAAGTCGAAAATATCACTTTTTACCAAAAATGACAAAAATATTCACCAAAATTATAGAATCGAAGATACCATCACGAAATGAACAAATGTAAGAAAGGTCTACATGTAGTACCTATATATGTAATATCAAAGCAATTGAACTATTGGTTTTTAACAAGAAGTCAAAAATATCACTTTTTACCAAAAATTACAAAAATATTCACCAAAATTAGAGAATTGAAGACATCATCACAAAATGAACAAATCTGAGAGAGGTCCACATGTAGTACCTATATATGTAATATCAAAGCAATCGGACTTGTGGTTTTTAACAAGAAATCAAAAATATCACTTTTTACCAAAAATTACAAAAAATATTCACCAAAATTAGAGAATTGAAGATATCAACATGAAATGAACAAACCTAAGAGAGGTCTACCCAAGGTACATATACACCAAGTATCAAAGCATTCAGGCTTGTAGTTTTCAAGAAGAAGTCGAAAAAGTAAAACATTGACACGGACGACGGAGACGAAGACAGACGACGACGACGGACGATGACGGACAATCACTCATATGATAAAAAAAAAATATGAAGATTCTACCAACAACACTTTCATACAGTGATCATACCTTAGCGATCTTAGGGTAAGGATTATCATGCATACTATATAATAAAATTACCCAATTTTTGTGCCACCAAATAAATTATATATATATAGAGGACAGTATATACCTACTATAATCATACGACATACAATATCACACCATAATGAAATGAAATACTGTGTCAATCCAATCAGAGGTAAATGTGATCTAAGGGTGACCTCTGTAAGGTCAGTGATACAAATATATGTGGAACAATGAGAACAATAAACTGTACAAAATTAAATCCTTGGATAGTGACTGTTGCTTATTACATTATAACGCATCCTCACACGTACCCCTCCACCACAAACCTGCCACCACCATAAAGTGAGCATACATTGAAATTTATTACCACTTCAGTCCAGTTTAATTACTAGAATGAATATACGAAAAGTAGATTGCCCTCACCTGATCCAACAAAAGAATAACCCACATTGCAACACGGGTCAATGCCTGTCAATCATTCACCATTTCCAAGGAACCACAATGAAAAGATTGGATACAGATATAAGGAGGGCAGGTGTGTTCAAGTAAACTACTGCTTAATTTACTTTAAAAAGCAGGTAATTATAATAAATGTACAAAATCAGTCAAAGTGGTCACTAGTGAATGGCCACTAGTCGGCCATTTTGAGTCAAATGTATTATCATATGTAATATTCATTGTTTTCACTAAACATTTTAGAGAGCAAGTTCAGAGCCACAAACATGTCAGAATATCAGTTCAAAGTTTAGTTTTTATATTTCATTAGATGAATTATCAGGACCTCATTTGTTGGCACTTGATATTTGAGTATTGACAGTCCACATGCATGTTTATCAGGGAAAGTTTAACATGTCATCAGTATAGTGTTGTTTTAAATGATGTAACTAAGCAACATCATGTGATTAATTATTCATGAGGACATTACGACAAACAAATGAGAAAACACAAATTAAAATAACTCATGTGGTGTTGAAGTAGTTTCTAAAGGGTTTTGTTCAGGAAGTTATCTTCCTTGGCATTCACAACAAAACACAGCAAAGTAACATTGATAGGGTTGAAAATGTCTGCACACATTGCCCTTATTAGATATCTTTAATGTGCTATACTTTAATTTGCACTATGTATGTATGTCTAAAATTCATTTTAACAGCACTATGCAATTTAGTGCAAATACTATGTATGCAGTAGATTTAGTCATGGCAACGGTTTTAGCGAAGTTCCTGTAAGACCTGCCTTCTGACTAACAGCTGTTAAAAAGGAATCAAGTAAATAGATGTATGCCCAGTGGTGTGATTTGGTGACAGAAAAGCCTGTCTTTGCAGCATTTCTATGAGTGTTGTTTTAAATTCACTGACAACTTCATAAGCTATATTGCTATACCAACTTGTACAAGTGTAATAATAAGTATGACAAATGTATCATCATATATATAAACAATATAGAATTATGGCAACAACAGTATAAAGCTAATTTTATTTTTATATTCCTGAAACCTTTTCACTTTTCTGCAATCACATGTTTTCTAATTTAGAATATTGTTGCCGTCCACCAACATGTGCTACCAGGATTGTACATTCAGTTTTCTGTTCTAACCTTGCTTTGAACAGAATGTTTGGGTTGCCATATAAAAATGTGAGAAACATACAAAAGTCCATCGTAACTAAGACTTGCATACCATATAGGAAATGTTTTGTACACATCAATAAGACAAGAGATTTCAGTCATGGTAGAAAATAAACAAAAGTCTACACATACTGCCCACCAGAGGGCAACACACAATGTCAAAGAGTCATCCACATTTCCCACCCATAAGAGATGTAAAGGGAGGGTTGTTATGATTGGTAAATGCATAATCTTTATTTGGAATTGAACTAAGTGGTCGATATGTACCTGCTGAATGGATAAAAACTCTAAATTCTACAAATATTTCATCAATGAAGAAACTAAATGTGCTCACTACAATTATTTCAGTGAAATTCAACTTTATAGATACAAAGCAAGTTGTATTTAGTGGAGTAAAATTGCTAATTATAAAAATTACGGATAAAACATCAATATATCTGAATGTGAAAAGATTTAGCTTCAAATTTGAAAGGAAATTATATAAATGAAGGAATATATCAGTCTAGTAAAGTAACATTACATGGTTGGTTTAAAGTACTGTGATCAACAGACGTATGGCTGATGTTGGCAGCAAGCAAATAGTTTACAATAACAACTAGTACACAATAACAAATGGTTTTCTGATTTGAAAAGGATTGATCAAAGCATTTGTGAGAGAATGTAGGATTACATAAAGCTGATCATCTGTGCCATATTAACTCTATCTATGGTCAAAATAAGTCATATTTTAATTATCAAGTATAAAATAAATGCAAGTTTTGTTTTCAGTGGCTTTTACATGTATGTGCTTCTAATAGAGCAAATGGTTGCATCAAAACATTCAGGTCAAATATGATGTGGCAAGATTATTCATAGTCTCGTGGTGAAACTAAATCAAATTGACTGAATTAAAATAAGGAGATTGATATGTCACTGGAAATTGTTGGTCAATACTTAAAGTAATGTTGTAAGTGAGTGCACACACACAAGTACATTGTACTTTGTGGATGGTATAGATGGTGATGTGATATCTGATTAACTATAGCATCAATTAATATGTTGGTTGGGATATGAAACATTAGACATTATCAATGTGTTCATGTTCCTTGTAGTTATATTACAGATCAAGTATTTGTTGATTTTCATGGACTTTTCTCAGAGGATTGTTACATGTACTGATGTGATAATATAACAGAATACTCACCTTTTCAGGCATAAGACTCTGGGTTAAGGCGGGATCCAATGCCTGTAAGACAACATAGAATACATTCACTGGGAGGATAACATACAATGTGTATATCATATCATAGAAGTCTTTTATGCATGATGTGAATTATCCTATTGATCATTGGTTACCATTCATTCTACCTGCATATTAGTGAATCATCTAACGGGGCAGACAATCAGTGAAGGTCTTATACAATGTAGTTGAAATGATAATTTTGGTTTAAAATACTTTAGAAAAATGTTCTATGCATAATGCAAAGATTTTTTGCTGCAAAAAAACCAAATGTGATTAAATTTCATTGGTTACCCTAATGTTACCCTAATAGATTGTTTGACTTTGAAATTTTGTCATTTTTTCTCTATTGTAGATTTGAAAAACACTTTGATATCAGCTAACCATAAATATAACAAAAAGAAAAATCTCAGACAACCTAAATACTTATATAATTCAACTAAAACTGAAAATAGAGGATTATGTGAACACATTGTGTGATCCCATTATGAACAAGTCATGAATCAGGTCACATATGCGTGAAGGCTGTCAGTGATCATCAGTGAATATGTCCAGGAAGAGACATACAACCAAACGATAAATCCAATTCAGGGACTAATCTCTATGTCTTGTCACAGATTTTACACTGCATGTTGTGATACAAATTTATATATATTGATAATGTAATTAAACTTCTCACAAATTCATAATTTTTATCCAAGTACACAATTAAATGGAAATCAACATTACATAATATGTTATAATGAATTTATTGCATCCTTAGAAATAGTTTCTATTAGTTGACAGCAATAAAATGTTAGTACTAAAGTAAAATGTCAGTTATTGTTATTTCTGATTTCAAATATTTTGTATTCACCAACTTGTCTTATTAGTATGTCTTCTCTTGATATCTGGACATCATTTTTCAATTCTTCTGGAATATTGATATTATTACATAACTTTTGTGTTAATGAAATTAACATTAAATGATAACGGCTATCTGTAAAGTCATTCCGATAGCGATGTGTGCAAGTGCGAAATATTTGATAAAACAGACACACAGACAGGGTAAACATAGGGGTACTATTTATTATGAGCTTCACATATGGAAACCAAAAATGTCAGTAAATACAAAAACATCTGTGCTCTATACATGTGACTTCATCACCATTACAAGGGGGTCGCATACGACTTATTTACCACTTCCGTGTCACTAAGAATGTTCTAAAACCGTACTGTGTCTGGGTGGAATATTCTAGATTTTTTTTAGAAACTGGTTGAATAGGTAATAGAACACTGTATGAGGCAATAGAAGGTAATGAAACATTCTAGAAATTTGTAGTTCCAGACTCATTATCTATGCTGATGTAATGGTCTATTTATAGACAGTGTGGGTATATATAGGGGAGTTGTTCAGCACTGAGTTCAGATCGGAGATCTCGTTGAATTGTATTGGAGTTTAAGTATCTAGTTATTGGAGTAGTGGAGTTTTACAGCGTTATTGTACTTGATGTTTGCAGAGTATAATAAAACCAGTACCAGTTGAAACCTCATCTGTTGGCTCCGTGTTCGTATTTTATCATCGCCGCCAGGGAAGTCTTTCTGTTACTGTTGCCATTTTGGTATTTGAACCATCACACCTGTACTATACCAATTACGGTAATATTACGTTGCGTGTGACAAAGGGTTTCATTACAAGGTGGATGTAGGCCAGCCATCTACACTTGTTAATGACTCATAAGATGTCTACATTTACTTTCTAAAGACTGTGAATGTAGAAAATATCTTAACGCCTGCTTTCTTTATTAGGCTTTCTCATCAAAATCTTAAGACCCAGCATTGTACAAACCAAATTAAACTAGAATTGTTCATAAACAAGTAAGCCATCAGAGAGGGCAGATTTCCTGGAAACCTGGCGTGACTTTGTAAAGTGATTGTACATGTATATAAACATAGAAAGGAAGTAGAAAGTACTTAGTCCTGATTATTAATACACTACTACAATTATTCCTTGGGACTAAAATATGCAAATGAGACCTGACATGTTGTTGCAACTAATTAAACGAATGCAAGAATTTTTTCTAGAATCAATGTAAATTAGGTACTAATATAATTAAAGCAGCACATACCTTCATTGCATATAGGTTAATAGTCAACATTGCACCCATAAATACATTAACCAAGTTTTTCAAAAGATCAGAATAGAAATGCTCTATTTTTATGACCTTGTCCATAAGCATTAACAAATATATTCACACATGCAAATTAGCACAAACACACTGCTGTCATAAATGAACCAATAGTTACATTTCCCATACAAAATTTACCATACAGCAATATAAATTCATTAATATATGCAAATTAGCATATTCTGTCAACATAAGTACATCAATCACACCATGTCTGGAGAAGAAAAACAGATATGACACAGACAGACTAAATAATACAATAAATGTAACTGAGGTTTCAATACATACTTTCATAGTATCCCTTGTTCTTTGATGTCTTTCTTTTCTTAATGTATTATAGTTAGGTTTTTCCAATGTTGTATTGGATGATGTATCTAACACATAGTTTCCATTCTGAGCAGTCACAACTCCTCCATATCCATTACTATTATATTCATTCATTGTAAAACCTGTGTAATGAATATATTGATCAATTAATAATTTTTGAATGAGCCCAACCATACAACTGTCATAAAATGTCATCATTGTGAGTATTCATGTAGAGTTGCAAGTCCCCTTTATTTTGACTTCATTTGGGGTCCAAGCATTCAGAATTTTGATTGGCCAATTGGCAGCCATATTTGATTGAAATTGAACCAGAAGTGGCTATTTGACCACTTTCTGAGGGTCTAGACGATCAGTTGTTTTTATGGCAGATAGTACAACCTTATGTGTAATAGATATCACCAATAAAAACTTTAGCAGTCATGTGACTTTTTCTGCCATGTTTTTTCTCTGAAAAACGACAAAAACACTTTAAAATCTTCTTCAGAACCACTAGAACACAGTAATCGGAAATTGTTGTTTAGCATCTAGATTTGAAGCACATTTGAGTTTGAAAAAGTTGTTATGACTGGTCACATGGTTTGGCCGCCATTTTTGATTTCTTCTAAACAGGAAGTCATTTTTTGACTGATGCCACACTTTGAAGACTATCTTCAAATTTACCATGTTGCATCTCTCTCTTTCAGAAAGCTAAAAAATAAGTCAGATCAGTCATGTGATTTGGCTGCCATCTTGGATTTCAGTAAAAAATTACAAATATTTTGGGAATTTGTTTCTCAAGAGTACTTCAACCAATTAAGTTGATATATCGTATATGATATGTATGGCCATAGATTCTTACATGTATGAGAAAATAATTTTGATCAGTCACATGGTTTAGGTGACATCTTTGATTTTTGACAAAAACTTAGGGAATTTTTTTCTCTTGAGGGCCTAAATCATTAAACTTGATATTTTGTATATACATGTACCATGTACATTGTATGGTGTACACTGTGTGGTGTACATTGTATGGTGTACATTGTATGGTGTACATTGTATGGTGTACATTGTATGGTGTACATTGTATGGTGTACATTGTGTGGTGTACATTGTGTGGTGTGCATTGTATGGTCATTGTATGGCTTCGGGAAAAATAATATAATTTTGATTAGTCACATGGTTTGTCTGCCATCTTGGATTGAAACTAAACTGAAAGTGACCATTTTTCTGAGGGCCTAGAAATTTTAATTGTTTTATAGTAGCATTATGACCTTTCCAGCCATATTAGAAAATGTTTAAAAATCTTCTTCTTCATCACCTTTGAACTGTTCTAGCATCTATGTATAAAGGTCATTAAAGTTTGTAAAGCTTGTTGTGAATGGTCACATGGTTTGGCTTCCATCTTGGATTTCTTCCAAACAGGAAGCAGTTTTTGACTGATGCCACAGTTATCTGATTGATTCGAAATTTGGTATGTTACATCTCCACACTGAATTACTTCAGGCACAAGCCAAATAATTCAGACAATCATGTGACTTGGCCACCATCTTTGAATTTCTTTGAAAATGGCCAAAAGAACATTTGTTACTTATGAGTGCCTTAACTATCAACTTTATTTTACAATGATGTGAGAATAAAAAGTGCATATTTAATTCCTACAGTACACATGGGTGAATAAGTTTGAACAAATCAGTGTTAATGACTTGAAATTAGGGCGAATGTTATTCATGCCAAAAAATAAAGTTATGGACAAAAAGCATAGTTAGTAATTGAGAGCGAATAATTGGCTGGTCTACTACTGGTATCAACAGAAATTAGATGTATTAAATTACTCTTCCAAAACTGAAATATATGCTCAGAAATTAAACAGGATATGCTATTCATGAATTTTTTGTATCCAAACTGAATTTCAAAAAGCAAGATTGCAGGCAGTCAACCATCTTTGACCCAATTGTCAAGGACGTGTATCCTAATATGTATAATTTGAAGAGAAAAAAAACATGTAAACATTACATTTTGAAAAAACAAGATGGCTGCCAGTTGGTCGTTTTGGATTTGAACACAAAACAAACCATCATGGACATGTATCTCAACATATATTTGTATCAAATTTGAACAAAAAAGGACAAATCCTGTCCAAGAAATGACATTTTCCAAAAAACAAGACATGAACATTATATTTCTATATTTATGATGTATGTTCTAAATATGAATAAAAATGGTTCCTAAGCCATGAAGACATAGTAGTACGGTCAAAAAGCAAGATGGCCGCCAGTCGGTCATCTTTGATCTGATTGTAAAACAAATTGTCGTGGACATGTAATCTAAAATGTATGTACCAAATTTGAACAAAAACTGATAAAGCATGCATAAGTTACCACATTTTCAAAAAACAAAATGGTTTCCGGTCAGCCATTTTGGATTGAATCAGTAAACCACTACATGTGCATATGTCCCAGATAAAGTACTAGGCACATGCAAAGAATGTACAGATTTGGTTCACAGGGTTCTGAAATATGACTCATGTTGGACGGACGGAGACTAAAATACAAGTCCCTGTTTCGAACTTTGTTTAAACGGGGCCTAATAAACTGTTAGATGGTCCTCTGACCAGGGATATGCTAGGACCTATGCAATGCTGTTCACAGCTTTAAATGGATCTCTTACTATTATATATTACTGGAATATGATTGCTAGGGAGACTTTTACCATATATTTTCTTTACTAGGGAGACCACTTATCATTTATTACATCATTGCTATGGACACCTCTTATCATGCATTACTAGGCACGGACCTTTTTGCCATATATTACAACATCACTAGGTAGACCTCTTACAATACTACAATACTAGTATAGTCTGTCATTGTTAGGGACCCTCTTACTGTATTTTATTTTAATAAAGTAAAATGACTTTTCACAATGATATTTTTACCATCTACATGGACACAGCCAACCATCATCCACTGTATGTGCATACACACCTTCATCTTTATAGTGTACATACATGCAACCCGCTGCACAATATATCCTATTAAAACTAGTGTGGCAAATTAATAAGACTACAGCTGTAAACTAATTAATCAGAGTTTGCATGTCAGCATTTAGTTAAATTTAAAATTAAATTGTATGAGTCACTGTTAGGAAATGTGACTCACATGTTCGTTGGACAGTGACAGAGATTTTCAACAAAATTGATGACAATTTATGATAATGTACCAGTTATGAACAGCAACCTCCTCAAGCTAAAGAATTTCATACCAGGAATCCCCTGTTCCCAAGCCAAAAACGTTTTATGGTTTGAACCCAAAGCCAAATACCCTTCATTCCAGAAATATAAACGTCCTGTGCAAACATGTCACAGTAAAGCTCGTGATGCAATTCAATATGTTTGCTGATCTTATGCCAAGCTTATATTACCGGTAGATTTATTCAACAACACAACAGACGCATCACTGACTGACGGACAGTAACTGAGAGAAAAATAACAGCCATCCCACAGACCATGAGTGGCGTATAATAATATAACGTGTTGTCAACAACTCATTTAAATACAATAGTGCAATACAACATGCCATTGATTATATCACATTTACGTGATTCTGCACACAGTGGTGATAACGGAAACACTAGGAGATTGTATTTTAACAAATTTTAGAAAATTTAGGACAGACGAGATGGAAACTGATAACTATCGTCTGGTCAAATGGGTGCAAGGTCGAGGTGGTCAGGGCCAGTTAGTGGTCACAGTTTAAGTGTATAATGGCCAACCACGACCATAAAGAATAAACAATGACGTGACGACACTTACAGTCTGGTAATGACCCAAAAAATACTATCTGTAACTGGTAGAGTTTGGTTAAACCAAACGAAAATCAACGTAAATTTTGAATTCATGGCGTTCTTAAATCGCCCACTCCCATTGAAGACGTACACCATGGCGTTGTCATTATAATATTATTGTCAGCCATGAACGATGTCACAGTATTTGATATTAAACATTTACCTTAGTATATAAGGTCCTTTTGCGCTACAGCTTTTATTACGACCAATAATAACTGTCCCAACTGTCA